AAGAGTGGCCAAGCATTAGACCAGGCTGCCCAGAGAGGTGGTGGAGTCCCCATCCCTGGAGGGGTTCAAAAAACGGGCAGAGGTGGCACTTTGGGCCATGGTTTAGTGGGCATGGGGGTGTTGGGTTGATGGTTAGGCTGATGACCTTAGAGATCCTTTCCAACCTTAGTGATTCCTAGTTTTACCTTCATTATAAATAATCCATCCCCCAAGTCAGGAAACATGAAATTAATTCTTACTCTTCCCTGAACTGGTTTAGTGGTGGACTTGGCAGTGTTAGGTTAATGGTTGGACTGGATGATCTTAAAGATCTTTTCCAACCTAAACATGATTCTATGCTCCTGCAGGAGAAGGATGTGAGCCCGTATTCAAGTCCCGTGAAGCCTCCAAGTGCAACTTGTACGAAAAGAAAGAGGATGGGATGTTCCTAGAGCAGCATGGGCTCACATTCTACACACCGAGGCAAGGAAGCCAAATCCCAAGAGCCCTCGAGCACCCTAAAGGGAAGAAACCCCCTCCACCCTTCCCTGGGACCCTACGGCACCCTACCGTCATCATATAGTCCTGGAGCAGCTCCGTCGCCGTGGTGCTCAGCTCGCTCTCGCTGACGGTCTTAATGTGTGGAGACTGTTGTGTGGAGAAGGAAGAGGGGGAGTTGTCACCTGCCTCCAAGGTTTCTGGAAAGGAACTGAAACGCAAACAGATCGTGAGTCCTCCAGAGCTCCTCGGGCACCTTCTGCATCGTCGTCGCTGGCAGTCGCGGCACGGGGGAGCCTGGAAGGGCTGAGAGGCACGTTGAGATGCGCTCTCTCTGCAATAAAGCTCACAGCCTTCTGCTCTTGAGGGCATCTGAAGGCTCCCACGCAGCACGGAGGACTTGAACTACATTGCTTTGGCGACCTGCTGAAAACGAAGCCCTTCATGAGCACAGATCCCTTCCAATCGCTTTCTCATTTTGGAACAGTGCAGGGAAAAGTCTCGAACCACCTTATTTTGGCATTAAATGTGCAATTTTCAAATGGCATCAGTCAATTTTAAACAACCCGTTTGTGTGTCAGGTTTTCAGCCCACAGGCACTATCAACATTTTCAGTGGTCACCAATTCAGGAGGGAAAAAGTTTCCAAAACAAAGGGCTTTGGGGAAAACATTTCTCCCAATTCCAGCTGGATTTCACCAAGGCAAAGCAGCCGGGCGAGTGTCACATCCCCGCTTTGCTGATGTGAGGGACTGCACCCGCATTGTGTACGTGATCGTCTCTGGAAACCCGCGGCAGCAGAACAATACGGCCACAGACGCTGCGGAGGCAGGGACCACGGCACCATGCACGGACAGGAAAAACCCCATCCGATGTTTCAGCCAGACCGAGCAGAAGCTTTCCAATGTGCAGACTGCAGCGGTTTCTGCTCTGGGGGCCTTAAAGCCGGCAGCGAGGCTGCACTAATAAGCCTGAGTGCCGAGCGAGCTCAGCGTACCGCGTTTTAACTTACAAAGTGCTTGCTTCCGTTTCGTAAGATTCCTTAACATCCACTTTTGTAGAAGAGTCATCTGCAAGGAAAACAGGCGAGACATGGAGTTTAAGAGGCAGAATTCGGTGCTTTTCCTGCTCCATGACCTATACACACACTGATTTCTGACTTGGCTTTCCCAGCTGGAAGGCGAGAGGGCTGGCGCCGAGATGGTGCCGAGCGGTGCTGTGTCAGGACTGGATACGAACTCTGCACAGATGCAGAACTGCAAAGGGATTGTTTTATTAAGTGCCTCCGTCCAACATAAATAGGGAGGCAAAGGGTATGGGGGACAAGGACGATGGCTGATGTCCCATAGCCCAGTGGGGGAAACATCCGCAGGCAGGAGATAGCCCTCCTGCCCCTCCAACTCACACGCAATTAAAGCAGATGAGGGTTTCTTTTTTTTTTTCCCAATACCCTGCAGGAGGGAAGCCACCAGGCTGGCTCTGACCTTGGAGGGTGGCAGGAGGAGAGGTGACAGACATTGGTGAAGATGGGGACAGCCCAGGAAGCCAAGCGTCTCCTGGCTGCATCCCCAGCAGCATGGCCAGCGGGGCGAGGGAGGGGATTCTGCCCCTCTGCTCCGCTCCGCTGAGACCCCCCCCCGGGGCACGGCCTCCAGCTCTGGGGCCCTCAGCACCGCGCAGCCATGGAGCTGTTGGAGCGGGCCCAGAGGCGCGCAGGGGAGGCCACGAAGATGCTCGGGGGGCTGGAGCAGCTCTGCTGTGAGGCCAGGCTGGGAGAGCTGGGGGTGTTCAGCCCGGGGAAGAGAAGGCTGCGGGGAGACCTTAGTGCGGCCTTCCAGTGCTGAAAGGGGCTACAGGAAAGCTGGGGAGGGACTCTGTATCGGGGAGTGTAGGGATAGGACCAGGATAACGGTTTTAAAATGAAAAAGGGCAGATTTAGATCAGATATTAGGAAGAAATTCTTCACTGTGAGGGTGGTGAGGCACTGGCACAGGTTGCCCAGAGCAGTTGTGGCTGTCCCGTCCCTGGAAGTGTTCAAGATCGGGTTGGACGGGGCTCTGAGCAACCTGACCTAGCTGAAGGTGTCCCTGCCCATGGCCAGAGGGTTGGACCGAGATGATCTTTAAGGTCCCTTCCAACCCAAACCCTTCCATGATTCTATGACCCTCAGACAGGCCCCGTGAGAAAGAGGCAAACGGGGTGAGCACGGACTTACCGCTGTGTAAGGACATGTGCCGCGTCGGCGTGGACGCCCCATCAAATATTGCTCTGTCCAAGAAGTCTATCGTGGACTCAGTGTAAACAATCTGGAAGACTTGGCTGAGAAGTGAGCACAGCTCCTCGGCAGTCACCTGGGGAGGGAGCAAAGAAGGGTTGGTGCAAGGCAGAAGATACCACAGAGGCCTTTCTCTTCAGCTCCTGACAGCGGGCATGCCGTGGGACAGTGGCGTGCTGTATTTGTAAGGGTGTTGTCCTCCCAGCAAGGAGAGGGGACCCACTCGTCTAAGAGGACACTGCTTGACCCACAGGGTTCTCCAGGGCCGGAGGTGACAAACCTCGAGTCTCGTTAGCTACCTCCTGCTGTCCCCTGGGCTTTTCCTCGGTGCTAAACGAAATCCTGAGCTGCATCACCCTCATCACCCTGCCATACTGCCAGAGAAGCATCCCAGCCCTCTTCAACAGGCCAGAGCCAGGCAGTAGGAGCTCGGATGCTCCGTTGTCAACCCACAGCTATGAAATAGCACCTAGATTTTGTGTCGATGCTCTGTCCTACTCCTCAGTTCAGCTCCCTGGGATTTTGGCTATATAACCTACATCCCAAATAGGTGCAGGCACCCCAGAGAGCGTTAGAGCTGAAAACAAGGCGAGCAAAACTCCACCCTGGAGGCAAAGGGTTTCTGCTGTAGAAGTAGGAGCACGCAGACCGAGATCAGAATCTCTGGAGTCAGACACCAGATGAAACAAATTTCCAGGTCAGCATCAGGAAAATGCCCCGGTTAGCAAAATCCTATTGTGGGAGAGATTCAGTTGTCTTCACAGATTTCCTGCTGCTGGAGAAAGCTCCGGGCAGCAAGCACCACCACCAAGGGAAAACCATCTTCTGATACCCTCTCGTGTCCAAACCAGGTCACGGGGTTGGAGTAGGGACCAGGTTTTTCTCCTCCAGGTAGCACTTTGTGCACCAGCAAAGCCCAACCCACGCCCTGCAGTCTTAAAACTGGGCCTATGTGTGTCACACAACCTACGGCCACGTAAGCATCTGGTCATGTAATGGAGGGGACACTTGGCAAGAGGAAGATGAGGCCACCCTGGGGCTCGTGGCTCTCCACCATCAACCTGAACCATCTAAGGATCAGAAAAACCTCCCAGCGATCCCAGACTCAGCGTCGTCGCAATCGGAGCTTGACCCTGGAGGCAACCCCAACGTGGGACAGAGTTTTAATCGAGTGTTTTGAGTCTTACTTTGTTCTCCGTAGCCAGGATCACCAAGCAACAAGCTTCGACGGGAACCACCCCGCTCTCAGACAGCGAGCCTGAAGTCAGGGCTTTGGAGCTCTCGGCACAGAGACTTTGGCTTGGGGAGATCCCGGGGTCCTGAGCTGAGAAAGAGAGAAGTCGTGATGGAAAGGTCGAGGCAGGGAGAGAACAGCAAGGCGTCTGCGCACAGCGAGCTGTCCTCCGAGCAGGCTGCCTGTGAGGAGAGCAAAGCCCCGAAGCAGGAGGGCAGAGGATCCCACAGCTGGGAGAAAGCACCCTGGAGCAGGGAGCTCTCGGGAGCCCAGGAATTCCATCAGAGCGCTGCACAGGGCCGAAGTCCAGAGAAGGGCAACGGAGCTGGGGCAGGGTCTGGAGCACAGGGCTGGTGGGGAGCGGCTGAGGGAGCTGGGGGTGTTCAGCCTGGAGAAGAGGAGGCTGAGGGGAGGCCTGATCTCTCTCCACAACTACCTGAAAGGAGGTTGTAGTGAGGTGGGTGTTGGTCTCTTCTCCCAAGTAGTTAGCGAT